ACGCGCTAAGGGGTTGGGGGTGGCAAAAGTTGTTTGGAGGAGGGATACTTAAGTGATGAAAATTACACAATTTAAGGAATCTCAAAAAAAAGCTCTAAAATTTCTAGAAATTCCATCCAGGAGGATTGAATTCCAAATGCAAGAGAAGAGGGGGGCGAGGGGCGTTGACCTTCATTACGCATTTCTTTCCTATACAAGCGTCCATCACCGTAATGAAACATTGGCATTAAAAATTGACGCCTTAAACCTTTATGTCCTAATTTTTTGAGGTATCCCTAATCGTGATTATTTTATTTTTTGAAGTATCCTTGTTTTGATATAGTCCGGAATAAAAATAGGAAACACATTCGAATAATTATGAAGCAAGAAAGCTTCAGTCCCACGCATTCTTAAACCGTCTGTTGCACTAGTTTTGTATAGTATTTAAATTAAAGACTAAAGGATGTCGGCTCATTGTTAATGTAGGTTTCCATAATTTATTTATTTTTTCGCACCTAATTTCTAGTTTCTAATCCACAAATCGCGTTGAATCTGAGCATTTCGCGTGAAAACTGCAACACAGGTGACCTACGCACTTCTTTATTCCCACCCTCCGGCGCTCCGATTCAATGGCTCAATTGGTTCAACTTTACGAGCGAACTTAACCTCACCTCTACGGTCATTAATACCCGTCAAATTCATATCAACAGCAAAACATACCGTCGATTCATGTTCTCATTCAAGTGGGCGGCCCGTCACAGAAGGGCAAAGTGTAAGGAAAATCGTATTGAAATTAGAATACGATGCAACCATTAACCTACATCTGAACCGCCCCCGGGCGGTATCGGAACGTAATTATAATGTCAGCGGTAATGAAAGACAAGTCGAGACATGAAATACACCCTACAAGAAGATGCAAAAATGGCGTTGCGCATCTGCGAGAAGAGCTTGAATTGCAAATTTGGTCAGTTCCATAACAAACCATGCATTATCTTTTCTGGGAGCCTGGTCTCGAAAAAGTCTGTACACGAATCTCCTCAGGCTAGCTTTTGGAACAAGCTCGAAGTCTCTGGTCATAAGGTGGTTCGCTGCGTTGTTTGCTAATTATCGTTCTTGTATCGGTACTTTATAATTCGAGTGGTAATACCATCAGTGTAACAATTGGAGCTCTTTAATACATCTTTATATCGATATTATGTTTATATAATTATTGTTAATTTTGCTTGAAATGCTGTTGCGTGCAGACTTTTTAGGAAATTGCGTGACGCGTTGCACAATGCAAATGTCTAAATCGATTGTCGATTTCGGAAAAAACAAATTATGGGTATCTACTAAATTTCTCAAAGCACATTATGTTCAGGGTGAAGAAACGAAGAAATGGTGTTCCAAGGAATCTGCGATATTTCGAATTGAGTTACGCGTTTTTCGACTCACATAATTGAAAACCTCAGATTGATCGTGATGGTTGAAATCAGCCCGCCGATAATTATGATTTTCGTCCAGAATATAATCGGAGGTGTTTAAGAAACAGCTCGATAATGAGGGTTCTCTTGATGTTCGCGGAATGTAAGGCCCTCCCATGTAATCATTCTCCGAAACCTGACACAAATAGAAAGTGTCGTGTAGTTCACGCTGTAATTAAGGAAAGTTTAATCAAGTAAGATTCTCACACGTTTTCGCCGATTGGACTCACATCAATTAATCTGAGTAAAGTTTTACTCAAACTATCAGAAGAGAAATCCCGTGTAAGGCTGCAAAATCTTCTCTTTTGCGAAAAAAATTGAATGACTCAAGCGAAATCATTCTGCAATGGCAGTACTGGTTTCTTGCGGCCCAGTAAAATCATCGGCCATCGATATTTCTCCATTTGAAGCTTTGGTAAAGAATCGATTATCAAGTTAATCGTTTCGGATATCCTCATAATCAATCCTTTAACATGAACTCGACTGACATATTAATCGACTCATCACAAAGAACAACACATCATTGACGTATCGAAGGCGAAACCAGTGGCGTTGCGTGAATGATCGACTTTTGATAGTTCCCGGCCATTTGAAGCTATTGTAAAGAATCGATTATTAAGGTATTCGCTGCGAACACCCTCTTTATCGATCTTTTTCCATGACTTCAAATGGCAGATCAATCGATGTATCGCAAAGCATGCCACACCGCTGGAAACTTCCCAACCACATATCTCGGATTGTGACGTCGTAGACTTCCTGCCATACGTTAGTTTTCAAATGAAAAACTACTCATCGTCGATTCTTGAAAACTTCCGTGATCTTTCCTCTGTATGCGGAGAAAACTTTGTGAGAATTTTAGGAATTGATGTTGATTTGATCACCTTCAAAAAAATAAAATGTGAGCGGAGATTTTTAAACACGACAAACGAGATACGTGGTCTGGTAGTTTCAGCGTCGATATGTATCGATACTCGAAGAAAATGTTTGGTTTTTCATTTGTTTCAAATTCATAAATTCTGTTATTTGTCTATTCATTAAACTAGTTTTTTGCATCCCCTTCTTCGAAACTTAGAAAGAAACCTACAGACCACTTTATGAGTCGTCACACTCTATGAGATAAATGGGTAACAATTTTAACAATGGCGATCACCTAAAAATAGGTGTCCTTATGTATAAAATATCAGTGCTTTGACCTGTGTCTTCCTTTTACCTGTCAACTTAGAGCGTGAATCATTGAAGTTTATAAATGTAGGAGTTAGACTGCCGTGTTTTGTTTTTTTTCCTGCTGGTTTAATGACTTCGTGTCTATAGCACCTTCAGCCAACTTTAGACAATGTTTAGTGTCCGTAGACATCGTGGGATCTCCCTGATCCAGGCTTTTCCAATTTTCATTGATTAGGGCCGAGGAGAATCTGTTTCAGCAGATCTACTCGTCACTTCCGTGAAAATTAGACGCCACCACCGGGATTCCATCCCGGGACCTATTGACCTGGAGTCAGACGCGCTGACCACCAGGCCAACCTGGCCGGCTACTGCCGTGTTTATTAGTGTAGTTGTTCAGCTGTACTTAGTTGCGTGTCCACTTTATCATTTTACCCAACCTTAAAAAAGGAAAGGGAGCAAAGAAAAACTTACGCGCTGCAATTTCATGCGTAGTGAGTGTTTTGAAAAATATTGATGGGTGAAATCGGAAAACACGCGCGTATTTCTATTTGCAGCGTTGTGTAATTACCGTCATACATGCTCTATTTATCATAAAGATCTTGTCCAGTATTTTATGAAATGAGATCTCTGATGAAATTATTTCTGAGCAGGGATTTTAGAGTAACTTTAGGTGGGAAAATCTAAGCTAGTCATATTCTTCATAAAGTACATCTTTGTTGTCCAATAATTCGAATAACCCAATTAACGTAGGTAGTTCGAAATCCTCCAAGGTCATCAGTTACAATTGACAGGTAAGGCTTGATCGGAAATTCGAAATAAAATTGACTATTTTTCTCTACCATCCATAGTAAATCCATTTCCTCAGGAACTCAAGTAATATAGCTGTAAAAGGAAGTTTTTTTCATTAAAAAGTTCCGGATTTTAATGAATTTCTTTTCGCCCCTTTGGGAGCAGAAATGCATCATTTAGAAGTTGAGTCGATCAACTGCAGTCGGTGTAATTACGATCTTTTCAACATGCAATGGACCAGTAGACAAGTTATACAAATTTAAGCATTCGGATACTTGTTCCTGAACCAACATTTCTTTTCGAGCAAAGGAAACAGGGTGGCATGAAACGCAAGATAGAAATGAAAGATTGGAAATTTCAGTGAAATATTTCATAAAATTTCACGAGGCTGTGAAATATTTCATATTTTTTAGGATTAGAGGATGCAACCTGCACCCAAAAACACAAAAATAGAAGAAAGTTTCAATTTATAAATTATGCGAAACATGAAAAGAAACCGGTATATTTCAATATCTTTCATTTTCTGAAATTTTATTAAATATTTACTTGAAATTTCAAAGTTTTATTTTTTATGAAATTTTGCCGCACCCTGCGGAAATCACTGAAATTAACTTCTAGCCAAGATATGTAATGTTTCTTGGCGCATGAATTCATACCTCTGCTCGTGAGAAAACAAAATTCTAAGTGAGTCAAATCACGCATTAAGCGTTGTTACCATAATATTCTCTGTGATATGAAAATATGACAGCCTCAATCTCGATCCCTCAGTTCATCTGTTGACATTTTTGAATACAAAACAACACAAGGTGGGGAAAGAACACTCATCGATTAAAAGACCTACCGAGGCCCTCGTAATGTATGATTTGATTCAAGTTCACCACTTTTTCCGCAACCACTATTAAATAAAAACTTTTACATCTTAATTAGGAGTTGATTTCTATAATTTCCGTGGCGCGAATCGTGTTTCACGTGAAATTATGGCTCAGAAACACGTATTAGAATTCTAAAATTTGTGCCTTATCTACTTGTTCATTGAACAGTTTTAACTGAAATCAGCCTAAATACAGGTCACGTTGCTTAATTTTCTGTCGTGTTTCATTATTTTACCAGAGCACTAAACTTCGTAACACCCTCAAAGTTAAACTTTCCTTGTATTAACCTCAGATTATTAATAACATACATACATAAAGCCGCTTTTTTAGCGCCGATTATTATTAACATACTCATTAAATTCTAAGTGTCAGTGTTGCTTATATTCCCGTCTAAAAATGAAACCTCAAAGAAAATTAGGCAACATCTCATGCAGCTTGGAACTTTTTGGAGGCTGACTGATTAAATTCGTATAATTGATTAGCAGGCATGTTTCCATAGGCTTTTAAATTTTTGAAAAGAACTAGATTTATGTAAACAAGTGATAGTCAGTAAAAAAATTCAAATACCTGTATGTTTTAACAGATTTATTGATGGTAACAAAATTTGGTAACAATGAATCACATAAATAAATAGTTAAATGACTTTGATGGAAGATGATGATTTGAAATAAATAAGTTAACCGTGAACATGGCTCTTGGATGTCATGGAAGAACGAGGTGAAAGCGTCGTCTAACCGTAGTGGGGGGCTGCGGGGGCGGAGTAGGAGGAGGATGAGTAGGATGGGGCAGAGTAAGATGGGGAGGAGTAAGAGGGGGCAGAGTAGGATGGGGCAGAGTATGAGGGGGCAGAGTAAGATGGGGCAGAGTATGAGGGGGCAGAGTAAGATGGGGCGGCGTATCCGGAAGGCTTGTTCAACAGCTGCACGCTCTGGGAAGAGTAAGCCTCACCACCCTTGTAAGATGGGGCGGAGTATGAGGGGGCAGAGTAAGATGGCTTGTAAGCTGGGGCGCTGTAAGATGGGGCGCTGTAGGATGGGGCGGAGTATGAGGGGGCAGAGTAAGATGGGGCAGAGTAAGCTGGGGCGCTGTATGAGGAGCTGTATGAGGGGGCGGGGGCGCTGTAAGCTGGGGCACTGTAGGCCGGCTTGTAGGCGGGGGCGCTGTAGGAAGGAGCGCTGTAGGAAGGAGCGCTGTAGGCGGCGGGGGCGCCGTAGGAGCCAGTGCTGTAGGAGGATGAGCTGTAAGACGGGCTACCGTACTGGGCGGTAGCGACAGCGAATACAGCGGCGAGAACGACGAACTGCAACAGTCAGAAAAAAGTGCCGATTAGAAATCTGATTTGACATTTTTTGACGGAAAAGTAGGATAGGAACAAGTTCCAAACTCTGTCAGAATAGGTCATTTGAGGGGCTCGGAAGACAAGGCGCATAAGTGCAGTTTTTGTTGTTTCGATAGACGCATGTTGGAAGTTGCGAAATTACATGGATCTTTATGGCGAAAATAATGTTCAAACTGACATTTTGTTGCTTAGTAATTGGAATTTGGGAGCGAAGTTCTCACAGAGTATACATTAAGACTAGTTTTACTTAGAATCATTCATATCTTAATTTTTTCAACAACTGCACTTATCCGCCTCGTCCTCCAAGCCCCTCAATTGTGCTGATTCCAGAATCATGTTTTCGTGATTGAATCCTCTGGATTAGCATAATTTAATATTTGTAGAATACATCCAGCGCCAAGTTTCGAAGTAAATATTGATAGAGGTACTGCCATTCGAAAACAGTGATTACTGTCAATTGTCATCCATCGAGGTCAAAATAATCAGATTTGTGCTATCAATCAATCAATAATGCACTCATGCCTCTAGGATTACCCTGCGTAACTGCTTATGAGCTACGGTTTGCACTACCGAGGTGAATGAGTCAATCACCTAATATTTCTCCAATGGCATTACGTCGGCTAAATGAGCCGTATTCACGAATATAATCATCTTTTTCAAATATAGTTTTGCGTACATTCGAATTTTATATTTTAAACTTGTATCTGATCGAATGTTGAAGTGATGTACCTTCATCTCCAAACAAACTTCATCTGAACAATTTTGGTCAACTTAGTGTTTTCTAAGTTATGTAAATTTGCAAATTAGTAAAAAAATAAAGAAATAAAATATTAATAAAGTTAAAAATTTTGTCAAAAAATCTAAACATAAGACGGTTTAAAAGTCGGGCTTGTCTTTTATAGTACAGTGTAACCATCCACTTTTTTTTACCGAAAAATTGATTGCCTTGCACACTGTCCATAATGCTGCAATAAAATGAAAGAGAAGGAGAGCGGTCTGCGTCACGGTCACAAAAAATTCGGTGAAAGGACCAGGTCCTTCATGAAGTTTTTTTTCTTTCAGAGTCAATGTTTCGGTTTAATTATAATAATCGATTTAATGCAACAGTCATGTTTCTACCTCACGTTTATCGACACCAATAATCAGAATAATTACATTTTTTTCGTGGAATGCTCAGAAAAGAAGGTGGCAAACTGCATTAATTTATTCCATTTGCAAGAACCCGACAAATCATAAAAAGGCGATGCAGTAGTTTTAAATTGGTACGTGAACCGTCTCAAATATGAGGTTGCGTCACCAATTTTTTCACCATCAAAAACTCATTTTATTCTCTCGTTATCGACCAATTAGATCGGTTCCGCCGAAGGCACGAGTTCACGAATTAACGCCCCAATTTTCTCCCCGCCCAAAGCTAGACTTGTTACTTCAATGTATCGAATTTAAATTTATCGAATAAATTTATCGAATTATCGAATAAAGTGGAGGCGCTGGACGGAGAAAGTATATCGATCTTTCGCGCATTACACAAGTCCCTCCGAAACTTGTCTGGGGTCTGGTTTTTTTGTGATTCCAGAGATCTGTGAATGGAAGAGCCGGTATCGCAGCCTCGTAATTTCGATCTGCTTATTAGGCGTTGTGGTCCCAGTATCCCCCCGGCTTCACTGCCAGGCGCAAAGCCGTAAATTTTCGAAGTGTATCCAGCGATACCAAATCGCGGTTTTAAGCTGAATTATTTAATATATTCTTTTACGGAAATTCAGGCACAGCGTGACAGTGAAAGTAGCGCGCGGAATAATTTTAATATTTTGTAACTTTTACTGCTCGAGCTATATCCGGAGGGGGATATAATCGTTTCTTTATTTTTGGCCGTTCCTTTTGTTTGGTAATAATTATTACTTAATACGGGTTTCGCTACGTCTTGTCCGTCTCAAGACCCTATTTCAAACTTTACCGTCCAACTCTCCATAAATGTTCGTTTTTTTCGTTCAGATTGAGGAGACAACCCCCCCCCCCCCCNTTTCTCCGCTCTTTTTGGAGGAAGTTTTTGAAAATAAAATACTCCGCTGCCTACTCATCTTAGAATACTATCGTGCCAAGGAAGAACGCCGAATGAACATTTGAGAGTTGCCAAATTTCCTTTGATAAAATGTTTCTTTTTGAGGCAAGTTATGTATATTTTTCCTTGAAATTTTCAGGAACTTTAGGTGAAATCGCAAACAAAATTATATGAAAAATTGGAAGAAAAATATTCATATGTTCACTAGAAAATTCGTGTCTTATCAAAGGATATTTGGCAACGCCTGAAGGTTCATACGGCGTTTTTCCTTAGCACGGCAGAATACTGCCGTGTATACAACCTCGCCTTTTTTCTAAAAGTGGAACGTGACTTTTTGTCAGAACGCAAAATTTAAAAAAATGACGTTAATTTCTAGCCGTAGAAACGAAAGAAAAAAAAAAACTTTGGCCATTTTCCCATCGGACGTTAGAAAAAAAACGACTGCTGAACAACCCGGAAACTCGGGAACCCGGATGCTGAAATCCATCAAAGTTTACTAGTGACATTTGCAGCTTAAATAGCAAACAGGGGTCCGCGTTGATAATGTAGTTTAAACTTAAAAGGAGTCAACTTTGAATGAACTGAACGATAGTTTGGCTTTATATGTTAAAATTTATCGCTGACATTTTATGCTCAGAAAGTTGTCAAAAAGATAATCAGCAGTCCGAATTTCACTATTCGATTTTAACACACTTACGCATGATACATGTCAGTTTATTGCCCGATTTTACTCAAGTAGACTTTGGTCTTTGGGTAAGCAAACTGTTGAAATTTTCAAACCCAAAAAACGGTAATTTCTCACTTAGTAGTCAAATTTGGAAAATAATTTTGTGTACGGACCATTTGGACCGCGTTAAGCAAAAAGGAACCAAGGTATATCAGCTATTGCTAAATTTATCGGGGCATTTTAATTTTTCATGAAAACGGTTGTGCGGATATATTTGCAAATGTCAGTGAATTTTCTGCATACTACGAAGCAAATTCCTAAAAATTTTCAAAGGAATCCGCACAAACGGCTCTTGTAAAAAATTAAATTGTCCCGTTAAATTTGGCAAACGCTGATGTAGTTCGGTTCTTTTCTGCGAAATGCGGTCCATATTGTTAGTGACATTTTGATGAAAAACATGTGTTGTGGGACTTTATTTCTTGCTATGTCTACTAGTTTATTTACACAGATCCGTCGCAAGATTCTAGGCTAACATGAGGTTGACAGACGCTGACAGTGAACACGACATTCTTGAACAGCGCTAAAAATTAGTCGACAGGTCGGTAATCGTAACACGCAAGTTCGAAGGGGAGACAGCTTGGCGCAGCATGGAGTGGAGATCTGGATTAGATAAACGCGCTACTCAAATCATAGCAAGGTGACAGCTATATTAATTTTCTGTCGTGTGCAAGATGAATAATGGCTCACTGAGGTTCGATTCATTTTATTTGGAGATAGCTAGTAATTAATGATCTCTCCTTACATCTTGTTTGCGAAGTGCAATTACATTTTTGCTTTAGTTGCCAAAATTGCTCAGGGATGTAGTATTTTTTTTTTCTTTTAAATGAGTTTTATGGGCTATTAGGAAAGGTGCATAAAACTATCCAAAATTTGAACGAGGTGATGAGTTGAAAATTATTATCGACTGTTATCGACTTATTATCGAAAATTATTATTATGCGGCTGTTATTTTCACTAGGATCATAAAACTAAAAATAACAACACTGGAAAAGAAACACATTGGATCTAGAGTCCAGACTCTTGAAAACATTGAAAAGAAAAAATACTCTTGATTCAATCGGATTTTTGCTTGAATCAAAACAAAATCCGCTTAAATTAAGAGGCTTGGTTCTTGATTTAAGCTAGATTCTGATTGAATCAAGAGTATTTTTTCGTGTCGATGTTTTTAAGAGTCTGGACTCTGGATCCCATGTGTTTTTTTTTTCTAGTAAATGAGAGCTATTGATATCGATGATTTGACAAAAATGCAGAGAACCATTCCACATCGCTAGCCATGACTTGTTTTCATGTTCATAATTTTGAGTTTCTCAAGCAAAGCTCAAAATGTGCTACTTCTAAGAATGTTCTCAGCTTCCGGCCAAAATATCACAAGCGCCATGCAACGTTTTAAGAATTTCTGCCGCCATTTTATTTTTTTACAGAGAAATTGTCGGTTGAATCTGTTTGAAAATTTCACTGAATTTATCGGCAGCATAAAGAAAATTCAGTGAAATTTCCGGACAGCTTCGTCGGACAATTTCTAAGTAAGAAAATAAAATGGCGGCGGATATTTTTAAACGTCGCATGGCGCTTGTAACACTTTGGTCGGAAGGTGACGATGTGTCGGTCAGAGATTTTAAGCCAGCTAACGTAGCACTCACATATCCACGGTGAAACCTCCCAACTTATTTTTATTTTGCGGTGTTCTACAATTTCTGCTATTTTATTATTTCAAAGAAAGGCTATCTACGTGATTTTTTGAAGTTTCTGACCGAATTTGCTGCGCCTAGAGAATGAAAATCAAGGAAGTTTTTAAGAATTGATGTTGAGTCGTTGTCTATCTACGAAATGAAGGATTACAGAAAATCTATAACGTCACAGACTTAAATACGCGATGTGGGAGTTTTACCTTCGTTATGGCCGTATTAAAGTTAAAAATAACTATCCACAAATGCAAAAAAGCAAAGAAAACAGTAAGCATAGCATTTACGTTATTTGTGGTCTCCTTCGGTTCAATTCATTTGCAAATATCTATTTCCTTTTAGCTTTAATACGTACTTCTATTCGGGCTACATTTTGCAGAGAGGGACTACGACTTTTAGCTCATTCATAAAAGCACCTATTTGCATAGCGAAACTGACGATACGTATGTTGCTTCCGAAATGAAGCAGAAGAAGGATTTCCTGTATTACGAAATGAGATCCGCATGATTGAGAGCAGAGATTCTAACGCACAGTTAAGAAAACTCAAAGCCAGTTCCCACGTCGTTCCTTACTTTTCAAGCATCCTCTGCCATTACAGAATTTGCAATAGGCATTAGACACAGATTTCAGTCTCTTTTTATCTAGTTAAATATCAGAATATAGTTCATTCGTATGTTAGGTGAATCGGATGAATATTATGAACTGTCGAGGCCTAATACTGTTGAGCCGCGTTTGGTATGTAACTATACAAATAAGTTAACCAATCAGAAAAAGCAATCCAAACAACCCTTGGAAAATTCGATCTCATCCTCACTCAATTCCAAAGTTTTTAACGTAACTCATAACCGAGAAGAGAATGAAAGATCAGTAATGAATCTAAAAAATTATAGGAAAATGCAACGAGTAAAAAACCGTTCAATCCAGCAAAATTTTGACCCTTCCGTTTGACCTTTTCCTGACTCGAGCAAGTTTTGACTGCACTCTTTTTTAGACTTTGAACGCAATTCCTTATTGATTATTGTAGTTTGATAGAGAGCAGAGGAATGAGTTTTACAAAAGTAAGCGTAGTAACGAAAGAGTAAAGCGTTGCATTATAAACGTAAAAATTTAAAAAGTAATTAATTAAGGACCGTTTAATTATTTTAATCGGAAGAAGAATCTAGTCATTGTGTCATCACTGGCAGCAATAACTTTTTCAAGTCCCTTACAAGTTCAAATGAGCGCCAAGACAATACAACAGTAAACAACGGTACGTATCGAAGTTCACTTTTTTTCCGTTTTGTAAGCGTGGGCGCGAACCGTCCGAACCTTGACTCCTGATGAAGTCGTAGCAGTCACTTTTTTTCTAAGTACACAAGTCGTTGAAATTCCATTAAGCAAACAAATTTAAAACACAATTAAGTCGACAGCTGGCACCCATTGGTATCTCTGACGCGACACTTAATCCGGAAATCAAAATCGTTCAAAATACATCGGATAAAAAGCTTGACCGGTAACTTATGAATAAAAAATGTGTTTATTTTTGATGTGTATCGGCGCCTAAATTTAAAATTTTTAAAAATTTCTCGCCCGAAAAAAATCCGAAATAGCAAAATCGTCGAACTGCCCAAAAAATTCGGGCCCGCGGTATTTTGCACACCCCTACTAATCACCATTCACGACGGAAATAGAAAATAAGTATTCGGTACTCACTTTGTAAGCCATTTTGAGGTTAGGTGTTCACGTGTTGTTGTGGAGTAAGCAAGTGACTCAATGTAGCCGGCAAGAGCCCCAATATAGTATTTATACTCGGCTAGGCGAGTTAAAGATGACTCATATCTGGATAAAGATGAGGAACGTAACAATGTGTGATAATTGTTTATCTTCGGGGGGACACGCGCTCTGGAGGGGGGATCTGGAGGGGGAGGAGAAATGAAGAAAGGCCGGACCTCCGAGTAGAGAGAGACGCAAGGAGGAACCAGCGGTGCGGGGTTTTCGGCCGTGCGTAACATGACGAGGGGGGCGGGGGGGCCCTGAAGAAGAGTGGAAAGAAGCGAGGCCCCCCTCCCTCGTTCTAGCTCGCTAGGTAAAAAACACCTTTTCGCAAAGGGTCTCGATTGTAGGTATGCGATTTTTGCAGGATATCGGCGTGTCTGGGTCTCCGTCTTCCTCTGACGAAAAAAAACTAGGCCAGCCCTCTTGGTTTCTGCACAGCTCGCCGATTAGACTTTTGATCCGCCGTTTTGATTCACGGTCCCGAGACAATGAGGCGCGAGCGTTTTTTCAAGTGCAACGAGGTGTTTAATTAATCGTTTAATCAACCAATTTATCACTGCCTCCTTCCAACGAGGCGATTGTCCCGTCTGCGACCCTCGCGTAGTTCTGCGTGCAAAAACCTTCATAGATATACATATTGGTCTAGTCTCCCGTGATAGCGAAGAGAGCAGTAAGTGTCAAATTCTCGAAATCGAGTCTCCTTCAAAATTCGTCCAATCTCCTTTAGATGAAATCACTGGCATAGCTACAACAGCAAAATTCTTCCTAATTTTATGAAAATGAGACTTACTAGAAAGCCGTAAGTGCGCAAAAAATGACGTAGTTTCAGATAAAACAGCAGTAAGTGACATTATTTTTTCAGAGAGCCAATGGGAACAGTAAAGTTCCGCCCTTCTTTGCCAATTTCTAACCTGAAAATGTGTTTGCTGTGTGTTCAAAACGCAACCACGAAAGCCTGCAAAAGATAGCACTTACAGTTGTTTTGCCTGACACTAGCCTAACATGATAATGAAAAATATTATTTTTATGTAACTGAAATAAAATTGGTCGATTTTTAATCATCCAAACGATTTCTAAGAGTCTTCTGGATGATCAATGGCAATTTGTCAAAGAACGGAGGGCTCTTTCAATATATTCCGGTGAGGCGCTTCCGAGCCCGTTTTCTCAAATTTTTGTCCTTGCACTTACTGCTCTCTTCGCTATCACGGCAGATCAGTGGTACCTTTAAGGATGTATTCAGTGTCGCTCCTTGATCAACTTTTTTCCTCAGAGGGCTCCCATGTATGATTTACAATGTGATTGAGTAGGTTTTCAAAGTAGCATCATCAAAATAAACATCTTACGAACCTAAAGTAAAAGTCAATTTAAGAGCCTTCAAAATAGATCCTTGTGAGATATTACAATGATTTGACACCGTGAAAAATAGAAAACTTGAAATTGAAAATTCCACGATTCCAATGAATACAAAGGAGGTAAGGACCACAACCTCAAAACTCAAAATCAACAATATTTTTCTCTTCTTGTATTTTACTTTGTTGAAGTGGCAAATCATTGTAATATAGCTCGCATGATATCAATTTTATTCCGGCTTCTCTTCCATCCTTTTTTTTTTTGCTTGTCTCTTTCTTTGAAATAAACGAATATCACTCCTACTACTTTCTCTCTTTTCTTTCTGTAAAATGTACAGCACGGGCAGCAGGGCTAATTGTGCGTGATGAAATTGGAGGAATTTAAAGGAAGCTTTGTTATTTTCGGAGACTTTAACGCACGTCAACAAAAGTAAACGTGCCAATATTCTCACCGCACCGGCTGATGCAATTTCAACGCATGTTTCGCAATTGCGGCATTATAGGATTTTCCTGTCTAATGCTCTGCTTTGAACAGGACCAGACAAATTTTATCGTTCACAGAATATTATTTCTTACGTGAGGGAATTTCAGAAGAAGCAAACTAATGAGAAGAGAATGTTTACACTTCATCAATCAACTTCATTGAAAATATATTTCTAATAATTTAAGGATACGCTCCGCATGTTATCTCTTTAATAAGTTTTTAATGCTGATAATTTTTGAAAATGGAGTTTAAATGAACAAAGTAAATTTTAAGTATGCCGAAAAATTACACATCCAAAAGTAAGCTTTCACAATAACTATATGGTGGTAGTTCAACGGTATTCAAAGTGTCCCGGGTCAAAACGGACAATAATAAACTAAATTTCAATTTTTTTGGGTCAAAGTATAAGACTTTATTTGGTATGAGATTTTATTTTTCAAAGGCTCTCCTCTGGAGCGGAAGTCTTCTAAAAAACAAAACAAAAAAAAGTCTTTATCCTTTTGTTTGTTGGGATCAACCGCTTTACAGATGATCTCTCCGGAAGTTGAGAAGCCGAAGCCAAATTAGTTGTGTTGGTTTTGCCCTGCTGGTCCTGGTTTTTGTGATAGGGTAGCCCGTGTGTACGTTGAAGTTTCATTCATTAAAATCCATGAGCCCCGATGTAAAGCACCTGGTTAGCATTTGTATTGACATCCGCGGGCTCCACCCTTACGGGTGAGGGTCAGAACGCAGTTTGGCCAGTTTCCCGAGGCGGCAACGTTGACGATTTCCCGAGCGTCCGGTGCGTTGTTCCCGCAGTAGAATGGACCATTCGTGGAGATGGCCCCGCAGTTATTACTATTCCATACAACTTGCAGACCTGTCGAAGAGAAGTAACCGTAAACAATTTTGCCATTCGACTCAATCAGGTTCAATCAAATTGCCTGAATGGAAGAAATTTGACCGCGTTAAGCAGAAAGGAACCGAAGCCGCGTAGGCTTTTGTCAAATTTAATTGGGAAATCTCATTTTGTACCGTAGGCTTTTGTCAAATTTAATTGGGAAATCTCATTTTGTACATAGAAATTGTTGCGCGAATTGTTGTGTAAATTTCCGTGAATTTTCTGCGTAGTACGAAGCAAATTCTTAAAAATGTTTAAAAGATTCCGCGCAAACCTTCACTTGTAAAAAGTAAATTGTCCATTTCAATTTGGCAACAGCTGATGTGGCTTGGTTCCTTTCTGTTTAATGATTCGATCCAAAATTGATAGAATTCGACAGAGACGCACCAAGTCGCATTTTGAATTCAAAAGGTTGAAAATTTTCTCTTTTATCAATCAAAAGTGACACAAGAACACAAACATGTTTATCGCAGTGTAGACAAAAATTCTTAGGTCATAGAGCACGTGGTTTAAGTTATTGCGAAAAATTGAGGAAGATAAGGTCTTATTCACAGATTCTGTCACGATTACTGACTAAATTTTTATTGGAAATTATCAATTTATGAAAACCCAAGAGGGGTAGATGAACGTTCCGGATGATAGAGGGTGGAATATTTTGAAATTTAATAATTTATTGCAGTTTAATGAACGAAAGAAGCGTACCAGCATTATCTGGATTCCAGCAGCCAGCAGGATTTGCTCCGTTGCGACAATACTGCCCGTTCTCTTGTATTCCAAAACCCACGTGAGGGCTCACTGCTCCTCCATTGTAAGTAGCAGACTGACCTGAAAGAGTATACAAGACATTAATTGGAAAATTACTCTAATTTATGCGAGGAAAAATTCGGAGATGATTTGGACTAAGCGAAACAGAGAGTAACCAGTTCTTACTCATTAAAAATGGAGTCGACAGGGATTTTCAGTAGAACTTGACAGCTGCATATTTTCTACCGTCAAAAATTTCAGGTCGTTTAAGCATTGCCAATGGAAAATCTTGGATTATTTTTCGTACAGACGCAATGAGAAATGAAGCTCATTGTGTCTCATTTTAAACTTAACCTGGGAAAGGGGTATAGTTCTTCCCCGCTGCTATCGTCCCTTTTTATTATATGTAACTAACCGAAAATTCCGTCAATAATACAAGTTTGAATTCTGTGCTTCCGTTGGGTTAGATTTCAGATCGGTTTGCGGCAGTAGTGCTGGTGCCTCATGAAAGATGCCTCCTTCTTTGAAATTTTATCCTTTATGAGGCAATTTTCATAAATTTGAGTGACTTGGAAATGTAGCCTCCCTTTAGCAAATTTGTCTCCCTCCGAAACAAACTTATCCAACCTCGGTCTGAACTACTGTTTACAATTATCATTAATCTAATGAATTAAGTACAGAAATTGATTGCATCAGTTCAAGGGCAACCGATGTATTGATCCTTTCATCAATGCAAAGTACACGTATTTAAGTTAATTTAAATTTTCGCTGTAGTCCACCCCATCGGTATTTCCCAAGTAAAAGTTTAAAAAAGTAAAATGCTTTTTAATGGTTTAATTATACTGTGTATTCTGGTTCATTGCGTGACTGACCTTTGTTGAGATTTTGCTGGGCTTCGTTGGCTGGGAAAGTCTTGATGGTGGGGTAATTGCCTCCAGGACAGGGGTCAACATGATTATGAACAGTAATTTGGTTAGGAATAGCTGCCAACGTCGCGGCAACGAAAACGGTTAAAAGTAGAGCTTGTGTTCCAATCATTTTATCAGGTTCTTGAGTTTTTACCAGTTTCCAATCCTTTACAAACCTTTAAAAAAACACAAAATTCAATAGACAGACCAGGAAACATGACAACCCATGTCATGAGCCGACAATAAAGTTTAAAAGAAACGCACCAAACCGCATTTTGAAAAAAAGGTAAATTTCGAGTCATTTTGAATTTAAAAAGTCGTAAATCCTCTGTCAAATATTTAAAGATGAGAAAAAGTATTTTGAATGTGGGAATAGTCGCTAAACTTCGTCCTTAACCCTCAGGAGTAAAACTTCCTACCTATTTTTCTCTGTTCAAACTTGATGCGACTGGGTGCGTATCTCTTAAGCTCGGTCCGTATGTCACACAAACAATGGGTAAGAGGATTGTAATTTTAGGAGCAAATCTACCATAAAGTTTTTTCATTGAATGAGTTCCTTATGAGTTTTCATTATGAATTTTGGGCTTGTATTTCTGAAATGGGCCAGAAAAATTAGTTCCTAATTAAATCAGGACTAGCGAAATCCATTTTTCCCGTCTTCAGTTTTTTGAGTTGATAATACTCGTACTTTTCGGAGTTGAATGAAAACACGTAAGTGGCGTTAATACTCGTCTCCGGGTTACAGTAATCCCAAAACGAGTCCTTTCATCACTTTTATGGTTACATCAACTATTTAAGAGTATTATAAACTCAAAAAAACAAAAGACCGGAAAAATGGACACTAGCGGTCCCGATTCAGTTGAAAAATGTAGTCCAATCGGCGAGCTGCACACTCAACGACTCCACTTCAAGTCAAACACATGCGCACTCACAACACTCACAAATCCGCACTTATATCGGTGACTTGAACTAAATTACGGAGGAGAAAGCACTTTAATTTGTTTTAAAAAATAACTCAAAATTATACCAAAGTCTCAGATGATCCTATGACCGTGCTCGTCCAAAGAAATAACTGATTGGCGGGAAAGAGGCTTCCCCAGATTTTCTAGCTTGAATTATTTTTCTTTTTAAATGGAGGGGACGTTCTGCGTCTGGGAATCCCCGTCGCAGAAAAACCCGTTGCGTAAAAACCATCATCGATTAGAGCTTGCTCTGCCTTTACTTTCCTCGTTCTTTTAAAGTCATTTTTTTCCGTGCATCCGCCAGTTTGTAGCGTTTATAAGATATTACAAAATGATCAGCGCTGTCTTGCATTTTTCAAGTGTTCAATTCATTATTTTCTTACTCTACACAGAGGCATTAATCAGTCTTCAAAAGAAGCAAACGGATCTGAAAAAGTCGTAATGTTTGGAATTATCATTGAATTATATTATTTTATTATCTGTATATAGTTTTCATTTAATATGTATCGAAACTGCAAGGAACTTGGATTATATTTTGTCATAATACAAAAAATGCAAATATATTTCCATGGTTGTGCGCTGCTTAAAACCACGTATCAAACAAAAAATAATCATTTTTATTCAATCAGGGCAAAAAGAGTTGCCTTCTTAAAGTTCCGGTTCAAGCATCCGATTTGGATACATTTGCAAAAAAAAAAAAAAAAAAAAAAAAAAAAAAAAAAAAAAAAAAAAAATTAAAAAAAATTGAGTTCTCTATGTTAAAACTTAAGGGTTTTTTTCAAATAAAATTGTCTGCCTTTAATTTACTCGAAATTTATTTTATTTCCTCTTTTCGCATAGTTGTGTGCAGATTTGTTCCGTTTGTGGGGCTAGGTTTATGGATTTCGGGATCATGGAGGCAAGGTAAATATTTTTATGTTCCTTCTAGCCTCGCCCTACATAGTGTTCCAGTTTTTGGTCTGCGAATTGGTCTGGCTTAAGACGCGGCATTGCATCGGCGAATCAACACATTTTAACGAGGTGCTATAGCTCATAATCTGAAATTTCAACTTGACCACATATCCGACCTAAGCCTTGGGATATCTCTTTAAGGTTTTAAAATATTTTTTTCCTAGAGATGCAGTCTCATTTTTGTTGTGTTTTTCATTTCATATATATGTGACAGCCGTTTCGACATATACCAATTTTTTCAGTTGTTAAATGCATCATAGCATCTGCAGAAGGTTTGACAAATTGGGAAAAAAGACGATAAACAGAACACGTTATAGGGAGGTAGAGCATCTAGCATGGTAAACAGACTAGCCCCGAATTGATTCTACGGTATTTTATATGGAAATTTTGTCATGGATCTTTTCTCTTTTTTTTAAAAAAAAATATCATAATTGTAGATATTCATCTTGCTTGTTATTTTTTTTTCTCGTCTCTCTCTGTTCCTGTCTTCACTCATTTTCCCACGGCTACTGTCGCACATTTAATGATGGTTTATTGTCATGTTAAAAAGTTGGTCCCAAGAAGTCATGTCAAACATTTGTTTAGCATGACTTGTCAACGATGCCTTGTCTTGGCACATGATATGGACAACGCGCGGCGGCAAAATCCTCTTAAGGCGATTATCCCTCGCTGTATTGCACACATGATTAGCAGTATATCCTCCTTACCCTCCTATTCTTTTATAATTTCCGTGCTCGATACACATGTGTGCTCATTCAATTGATGTTTGAATTTATTTATTTACCTATTTTTTCATTTATTTTTCTGACGAGGTTAAGTCGTTCTTGAGTATGATTTCTGGAGTGTGACTTTCATACAAGAGCAAAGCACTGTAAATTTTGACAGCCATAGAGATGTATCAGGTATACAAGCTTTGCTCGAAACAGGTCTGCAATTGATGATAACACGTTTGAAAAATATATAGATGAACCGAGCTTGTGGAAATTTCAATATCTTAAAGTTCTAGTCGTTCCAATTTAATCGCCACATGTTATTTCTCCAGATAAAAAATTTTTTAAAAAAAACCTAGCCATCCCTCTTGGTTTGAGTAATATTTTCAATGTAATAGTGGAGTGATTTAAACTATAGAGACAGAGGCACGCATCTACTTCTTAATTAAATTAACTTTTTTTTTGTAAAGATCTTCTAATTAAGGCCAACCACCTGCTCAGTGCCTATTAATTGTCATTAATTCCGCAGTAGGGATATTTACGGAGATAACCAAAAGACAACTTGGTCAAAAAGGAAGCGATAGTGACGTTCTGGGCATAAAAACAAATTATCCATTTCGCAGAAGAATTCATCATTTTTGGCGCTGCTGACCTGAACTGGGCGCGTTACGTGGCGCCAAGTGGTCATGCGTACTCTTATGTCGCCAGGAAAGGGTTAATTTTAATTTGGCGACTTGGTGTTGATAATGGCTGGACAAGTAAAATAAGTGAAAAAAAAAAAAAATAAAACTAAAACCTTCGTTTCTGAAAAAAATGCTTGAAAACGCTTCATTCGCGCACGAGCCTTCAATCGCCTAATTTATTATGTGTTACTCGAAATCCCTACTTACCGTGCAGGTGTTCTTACTTATGAGGTCATAAAGTATGACTCATACCATGGTTGATCCCAATTGAATTGTCTGAATCTCTGAGAGAATCCGGTGAAAGGAAATGCATTTTAAGATTCAATCTCAATGGTAAACTTGATACACTTGTAAATGAAACCTTGAACCGTACTCGTTTAAAATGTCAACGATGCCTGAAGGCCAATGGGGCTCCTTTAAGATTTAGGATTATTTGGGATCCATCCATCAATCTTTTTCAAAAAAAAAAATGTCACAAGGAATACGATGGTGCATATTAGTGCATTTCATTTAAGTTAAACTCCTTGGCCCACGTGAAGCTCTGAAAGTTGAGACCCTTATGGCGAAAAACCATTTGATTTTTTAAGAGACTATATTTACTATATTTTGAATTAAATAACCTAAACCTAGTTAGTAAAAAAAAGAAGAAATCCTAAGTTCCGAATGAGTCAGTGAGCAGCAATTAGAAAATGGAAAAAGTTTCAGCTTCCTTTAATTATGCTCTATTTTCCCGAAAGAAATGACGGACGAGCTTGCTCGTGTAAAAAATCAAAGCGAGAGGAATTAGATAATTAAGTTGGATACGGAGCAAAAAATCTTAAGAGTGTTTCGTAACCTTAATTACATCGATAGATCCAGTCACCAATGAACTCAAAGAGAATGAGCTGAGAGCTCTTTAGGTCACTCACCTGTTAAAAGTGCTTCTTTTCCGCTATTCTAAACAATCTGTGTTTAGAATCTAACCAATTACCTACAAATAATCATTTCGTACTTTTACTTGCACATTTTACTTTCTGCACTTTCTTACGTAATTTCAGTTTCTTTTTTCTTTTTTTTTATGTGAAGTAAAAGATAATGTTTGTAGACTAACTTCAACGCAGATAATCGGGAAAAGTTTTGCCTAATATGTTGTGCCACGCACATTTGTAGCAGGAATTTAATCCATTGAGGCGACGGGATCGACCAAAAATTGAGTCCAAGGTCTGGGCAGGATCTTGTGTCTGGGGCAGGAAATACCGGCGCAAGACCTTTTTGACAAATTAATGCAAAAATGCCTGTCTTAAAAATCTTATAATTGCAAAGGCTCGTGCAAATCGCGTATACTGTTTCTAAGAAACAAACTGGTGGAAAAGGCGCTTTTATTGTTACCATTGGAGAATTTTTGCGAGTAATTCCAATGAAAAACGGTTTTTTTTTCAACCCATTCCACTAATCTGTCGCCCTCATCAGCAACCGGTGTCTGCTGAACCAAATCTAAAATTTCTCGAGTCACCCCCGGAGGTAGGTAGGTCAAAAAGTGGATTAGAGTAAACGGTTCCACCAGAAACCACCAGTAAAGCGACCAATTATTCTGTAATGATGGTGTTTTACGCGACAAACACAACCAGAACACAACAACTGAGCAACAACAACCGCGGCGAGGTGATGACAATGAATTATAGTGTAAAAAGCGCATATATTTTTGTATATTTATATTATAAATTGTATGATATTGTATATCGTAGATTAAGTCATGTTGCATTGGCCAATTGGGGCGCTTTTTTTAAATCTAATCCGGGATTTTGCTCGTTTCCCGCAGGATTTGGTTGAAAAAATACTCGATTCTGATTGGTCCAAATTTCAACGACAATACAACAGTCATCTATCTAAAAAAATATCCAAATCCAGTCGCAAAAATTTGCCTTGGAATGTATAGCAATTCATTTACTGTTTCATCCTCTATGGAGACTTTCAAAGATTGTGCGGTGACGTCACCACTAAAAGCACCCGTGGGATGTGTGAGCGTTACGTACCGCAAGAAGCGAAGAGAAAGAGCTCCGTCTTGAATACATTTAAAAGTCGCGCGTGCCCAACTACAAAATTTATGATACCTTTTAAAATTTGATTACTCTCGCCGAAAATTCAAGGTGAAGGACGTTTAAGAACGGGCTGCGATCGCGCCGCGTGTCGTAAGTTCTTCAAACTCGGCCGTCAAACAGTAATACCTGCACTTCAATTTTTATTTGGGGGGGGGGCGCTCTGAGTTTCCTCTTTTTATTAAGTCGTGTGCTAATACCACACAAACAATTTCAACCAGGGGCAAGGAAATTTTGGAGGATATGGATTCAATCGGCATGAATCTATCAAAAAATGAAAACGTGAATCGATCGACATAATTATTAAAAACCGGTGTGGTTTTGTTCGACATGAATCGATCGAAAAATAAAAACGTGAATCGATTGACGTGATTCGATCGACAAAATCGATTAACTCGTTTGTTTTAACGCGTTAAAGGTTTATGAGTCTATTAATACTAAAATTAGGATGAATCTACACATATATCCTAAGTTGAATATATAGAATAGAATAAATGTAAGTATAACTAAAGAGAAAATTACTTGAACCAGATAATATCCTATTGTTGCCTCTCTAGCTCTATATCCTTTTCCTGATGTACGCAACCTTGATGATGGTTTAAAGATAGTTTGAGCAAAATATAAAGCTTTCGGTTTCCGATTTCAACTTCGGTCCCACTGAGC